GTTATCACAGAAGGTAGCACAAGGTGTAAGATGGTGAAGTGTTCTTTCTTGAAAGACACGTATAGAATCATAAAACAGTCTGAATTGGAAGAGATTTCTGAAGATCATCTAGTGCCACCCTCCTGTCATGGGCAGGGACCCCTCCCACTAGCCCAGGTTGCCCAAAGCCTCATCCAGCCCGGCCCTGACCCCCTCCAGGGATGTGGCATCCACAGCTTCTCTGGGCAACCTGGGCCACTGCCTCACCACCCGCACAGGAAAACATTTCTTCCTCATATTTAGTCTAAATCTCCCCTCTTTCAGTTTAAAACCATTACCGCTTGCCCTATCACAACAGTATGCACATCCACACAAAGGGCTCTGGTTCCAGACAGTTCTACGGTTCTGCAGCAGCAAAACCCAGTGCTTCAGTCAAATAATGACACCTGCAAAGACTCACCCTGTTCAATTCTCCTAAACCTGCTTCCCAGGGTAAGTAATTTGATTTTCAATGCTTTAACTAAAAAGCATTCTTCAGAACTACACAGCAATTTCAAATTTATCCTTATTACCAGATTTTATAGGGATCATCTCTTCTTCTCTGAGCTGGGGAGGAGGAAGTACTCTTGTGTCAGAGGTTTAAGCAGCACTCTCACTCTACTAGGATAAAAAAAAATTAAAAAACGGACTCATGGAGGTAAGTTTGTCCCTGTAAAGAACAGGAATCCTTCTTAACGCAGATCCATTTAAACGCAGTGATAAAAACAAGTGTCACCTATTTTTCCCAATACCCAACCCAAACTTCCCCTGGTGCAACTTGAGGACATTTCCTCTTGTCCTGTCACTCGTTACTTGTCAGAAGAGACCAACCCCCCCTCCTCACACCCTCCTTTCAGGCAGTTGTAGAGAGTGATGAGGTCTCCTCTCAGCCTCCTCTTCTCCAGACTGAACCCCCCCAGCTCCCTCAGCCGCTCCTCGTCAGCCCTGTGCTCCAGACCCTTCCCCAGTTCCGTTGCCCTTCTCTGGCCCTGCTCCAGCCCCTCAATGTCCTTCTTGTGGGGAGGGGCCCAAAACTGACCCCAGGATTCACGGTGCGGCCTCATCAGTGCCAAGTACAGGGGACTATCACTGCCCTGGTCCTGCTGGCCACACTATTGCTGATACAGGCCAGGATGCCGTTGGCCTCCTTGGCCACCTGGGCACATGCCAGCTCCTGTTCAGCCGGCTGTCGCCCAGCACCCCCAGGTCCTTCTCCAGCCACTCTTCCCCAAGCCTGTAGCATTGCAGGGGGTGGCTGTGACCCAAGTGCAGGACCCGGCACTGAGCCTTGTTGAACCTTCGATGGATGTGATTTAAAATAATTGCTACAATTTCCTGCCTCACCCCATGTGGGTGAAGTTTCACTGTATCTGAGGAGAAGACTTGCTTAGGAGGACTGTAGCACAGCACGGTCTGAAAAGCTACTGACTATCTTGCTCCAGGTTTACGCGGTCGCAGTCCCTACCCATTCGTTAGGGGATTAGCTTTCAAACAGTTGCACAAGCCACAGAGCTAACAACTGCGTGCAGCCACACACCACAAATATCAGATCACTCCACACACAGCAAACAAGGAGGAGGCATCTCTCAGACTTCTAAGGATATTTATCAAGTGCTCACTGTGGAGAGCAGCCCCAGAATGTCAGCTCTGGCAAGAAAACACCCAAATTCTAGTTAAAGTCAAGGAGCCTGAAATACAATATACTTGGTAATGCAGCTTCATTGCAAGTGGATATAATTTTTATTTTGTGTTTTAAATGAATGAACAATGTGGACTGCACTGCAAAACGACCCAGCCCCAAGAAAACAGGAACTGCTCTCAAATCACTCGATAGCAGGGATCTGTATCCCCTTTAGCACCACTTCCTTTTTCCACTTGAAAAAACAGAAGGTGTAAGGAAGGAAGCATTGGTGAAGGGGACACTCAGATAAATCAACACCTCGATAAATCATCAACTTGACTCTTACATTGGAGGAATTGAAAAGGGAGCTTAAAACCAAGTCTCCTAAACTGTTTTGCATGGCACAGCTCCTTTATAAACTTCACACACAGACGGAACGACAGACAGTTGAGGTTGGAAAGTTGCTCTGGATATCAGCCAGGTGTTCGCCACAGCAGGCGGCTCAGGGCTGTGTCCACGTGGCTCTTCAGAGGATGGAGTCTCCATCCCCTCTCTGGGATTCCTTCTCCGATTTTTAACAACCCTAAAGTAAAATGTATGTTCTTATTTATAGCCAAAATCTGTGTTTCAGCTTGTGCCCGTTGCCTCGTGTCCTGTCACGGGGCTCCCACTGAGCAGTGAGCCTGGCTCCCATCTCTTTACACCCTCTCCTCATATATTTAAATATGGTGAAAAGATCCCAAGTCTTCTCTTCTCCAGGCTGAACACTCCCAGCTCTCTCAGCCTTTCCTCACAGGAGAGATGCTCCAGTCCCTTCATCATATTCACGGCCCTTTGCTGGACTCCTTGACCAACACCACATCCTCCCTTTAACACGGAGCCCAGCACTGGACCCAGCACTCCCAGTGTGGCCTCACCAGTGCAGAAGGGAAGGACCACCTCCCTCGACTTGCTGGCAGCACTCTCCCCGACGCAACCCAGGATACTCTGGGTCACCTTTGCCATGAGGGCATACAGGTGGCTCCTGCTCAATCTGGTGTCCACCAGGACCTCTGTTCTGCAAAGCTGCTTTCCAGAGAGCTCACCCTCTGTCTGAAGAGATGCCTGGGGTTAGTCTTGCTTTTACACTTCCTGTTGTTGAACTTCCTGAGGTTCCTCTCTGCCCGTTTCTCCAGCAGTGCAGCCAGCTGGTGTATCAGCCACTCTCGCCAGCTTTCATCCAGCCACTTCATCCAGTTTTCCACTTTCCAGTTCATGATACATGAAGTTGATATCACCTGCAACTTTGCTGAGGGTGTAATCTGCTCTATCATCCAGGTCAATAAGGAAGAGGACCTCAGGCTCAAACTAAGAGAAGACCTGAAGACCTCAACCCAAAACTAAGCTGCCAATAAATATCTCAGATTATCCTGTGCACAGATATCCTGTCAGAGTTCAGTCTTACCACTCAAGTGTAGAAGGGCTGCACCCTGGAATAGGTTTGACCTAGTTAGTAATGCCACTTCTCAAGCCAGAATTAACACCCAGTTAACACCAGTTAATACAGAGCAGCTCAGAACAGGAACTGAAACATCCCCAAAAATTGCTTCTAAAGAGGGAGCACTTGACCCATGCCGCACTTCAATTTTTTTTGCCAAGGTACTCTTGCTCTCAAAGGGTGTCACGGTATTTTTATATCCCTGTCTCTCCTAGGGCAATTATTTGCTTTTCTAAAGAGTTACTGAAGCTCATTAAAGAAAATATAGACAGTTCACTTTATGTTTGATCATGTCTTAGACAAGTTTCTGCAGCCTAAAAGAAACCAGTAACTGCAGAACCCCAAAAACCAGCACCGAGTAATGCAGACACCTGCCAGAGACAACCTGGTTTGAAGCTTCAGGGACATGGTAGAAACACCTTAATTCACACTGCTCTAAAAACATGTGTCTGTGCTGTCTTTATAGCCACGAGTTCTGACCTAGTGGGCACAAGGTTCCCAAGAAGTACGAGGACAGCTGCTAGTAATCCTAGATCAGATTTCCTCCTGTCCGGGAAATCCTAAATTTAGGAAAGGGAGTAAGCATGCAGTTTCTATTTGGATCCCTCCCAAAATACAACATTTGTATGGATAAACATTTTATAGTGAAGCAGTTAAACCTGCATTTACCCCAGCAACAGCACCTGAAAGATAAGTGAAAACAGGAACCTAACATGACTGGAAGCTCCGAGGAAGCGATAAGCAAGCAAGAGAGTGCTGTGGCAATTCCAGACTCACAGTGGAACTCTGTTTTGGCTAATGCATGCCTGATATGTGAAAGCAGCATCCAGCAAAGCTGAAGTCAAAATATAGAGCCATAACTTGCAACCATATCGACAAACAGAACGTAGAATCCACTTTTTTGGACCTTGTAGAAGCTTCATATTTCTACAGCAGAAAAGATCTGAAAATAAAACCATTATCACTGACAGTTACAAGAATTCATATGAAGCAGTAAAAAAAAAAAATCAGGAAAGCAATGCCTCAATTGCTGCTCACAACCCTCACAAGTCATAGCATGAGAAGTGATCTCACAGGTTTTTGATACATGAAAACAACTGCTCCAATAATCTTTTAACAGCAGATGTTAAAAGAAGTCTGTCTTACCCTCAGCGATGCTCTAAGACAGATTTACATTTGTATCTGTATCAACACAGGTGGAGCTCTTCTAAAGCTCAAAAGAGTACCTCATCACATAAGGTTTATTTTGACCAATAGAGACAGGATAGTTAGAATCGAAACCTTGATGGCAGAATGTGTCTGTGCACATGTGTGTGTGCACAGATCTGAGCACAGAAGTTTTCTCAACTCCTGCAGTAATAATGCCTCAGTGGAAATTAAGAGGCTGTGCACCATTTCTGATCATGACACTATATTCAGCTGCAACTCGTATCCAAATTAGAGTCCGTAAGGACATCAGGGAATACACAACAACAAACACATGCACACCAAGGCAAGGGTGGAAAAAGAATAGTACAAGATTCAGGGAGAACAGAATAGGCAAGTATGGAAAGAAAGATCAACTTTCCTTCTCCCCATGTTTAATTTATGGTTTTCGAGTCCACTACCAGGTGTCTGGGGATTACTTTTATTTTACTTATTGCTTTACTTGCCTCACTTATCAATCAGTTTTTGCTATTAACTTATTAAACCACACAAAGATACTTCAACCCTATCTTTTCTTTTGTCCCACATAAATAGATAACAAAAATCTACTACTTTGGGAAAAGAAAAAACCAAACTTCTGGGATAGCCCACAAGACACAGAACCCTGAACGCATTCACGGCATTGCTCTGAGAACTCCACCAAGCAGCAGCACCCTGTGACGACAAAGTGTGACTCACCAGCAGGCCAGAATGCAGAACCCCGTGAAGAGGATGATGGGAATGGGGTAGGAAGCGCACAGCAGCCCGTGGTTGTAGAACGCCCGCGATATCCTCTCGCGCAGTTTTTCAGTCAGGGTCATCCTCAACTGTCGTCACCTAGCTGCCATCCCGAAAGACATCAGGGGCTCAGGCAATTCCAGCATGTGCAACACTTCAGCAAAGGCACTGTATCCAGCTAGAAATTGGAAAGAAAGCAAGCTCATGAGAAAAATAAAGAAATACAAGGAAAATAAATGTTACCAACCTGTTTTAGAAAGACTTCCAGCACTGTGCCTCCTCAGAAGAAAAGGAGGAGAAACACACCACACGCTGAGCACTTGCCACGAGCCTACAGGCACTCTGATCAAATTATTGGGTTTTGCTGAGGGGAGGGAAGGGCAGAAAACATGAGCAGGGAGCCAACACCAGCCAAACAGATGTCAGGCACCGCTGCCATGAGCTGCCGGTCAGAGAAAACACACAGGAACAGAGCTAGGAACCAAACCGTCTGAAAGGAAGGAAGAAAAGGAGCTTAGCAGTAAAAGAATTAAGCAGTACTCTGAGGAGATGCCAAAATGCCAATTAGTAAAGAAGGATTGAGGCTAGCTGTCAGCAGCACGGTCTCGAGGGAAGTGCTCTTGGACACCAACTGAAGCACTTGCAGGGCGAGAGCTTTAACTGTTAGCAACAGACCAGGAACAGAAGAGCCCAGAACAGGTTTCACAGCTCAGACAATCTCTTTGCACGGGGAACGAGGGAGGATAAACAGCCACAGTTCAGAAGACTAAGCCAGAGGATGCTACACCGTAAAATAAACTAACGCAGATGCTTCTCATCAAAACGTATTTTGACTTGACCGCAAGACTTACGAGTAGCCTGTTTGCCAAGTGCAAACTGAACTGCGGATGTCAAAACTGGTCAAAACTTGAACTTGGAATTTGATTTACAGAGTAAAAAAAACGCACTATAAAAAGCCCTAAGAAAAGGTGAAGATAATAAATCGAAAGAAAGCACAAATCAAAATTCTAGGAAAGATGGAGCAGAAGAAACCTACTTTTTTTTAAAATCTCAAGCTAAATGCAAAGCATATGGTTCACAACAGTGCTCGCAGAAGTGAAAGTCCTGAATGCAAGACAGATTTCTCCCTACAGTTCAAAGCCCTGATTATCCAAGATTTTTATCTGAGAGGAAATAAAGATATTTTTCCTGGCTTCTCCAGAATAAGATAACAAGATACCCACAGCATACAACATAATTGACTTTGTCCACAGGAGAAGGCCATTGAAGAGCATGCCAGAGAATTCAATACACAACCCAAACCCAGGCTACCCCATTAAAACCAGCTGGCCATTAGACAGCTTGAACAACTCACCTTCACCATCTTAAATGGAAAAAAAATATTAGAGGAGAAGGTCTGAGAGGTTCACACAGGCATGAAACCCATTAGGGATTTCTATACATATCTGGCTTAGGAGCTCTGTAAGCCTCAAATATTTAAAAGCTGGGGGAGGTACCACAGGTGCTGGTTTGTTTTTTATTCTCTCCTAAGCATCCACTTTCAGCTATATGGGAGAGACCATACGGGGAAGACAAACCTTAAGTAGAGCCATTATGCTTTTAATTTCAGATTTAACTCTATGTCATGCCCACAGGACCATTTTTACAATCATCTACCTAATTTCTTCCCCCAGTAATGCAACTAAAAATAACCATATTTTGAGCAACAGAGGCAGCAGTATAGTGGCCTAATGACCAAACGGAAAACCTGGATAAATATTTTTGCTCATACTTTTCAGCAAGGCACTATATCCTTCCATAGGGATCAACATAACTTTCTTAGTCATAGGCTATTTCAGTTTGCCTGCAGTCCAGGCAGGAACGTTCCAGGATTTTGGGAGAGGGGAAGGATGAGAAGTGTGCTCTTGCTGCCCGGAGACCTTGTAATGCAAGGGACATACACTTAGAAATTGCAGCAATTACATCAGGAAAAGCTCAATTTTCAACATTTAGCTTATTTTGATCCAGTGGCAAATATGACCTGTTCAAATCAAGTCCAAGGCAGATGTAAAAAAGACAATTAAAAAAAATTAAAGGTGCACTGAAATCCCCAGAAATGCAGACTTTCTACTCCAGGACTCAGGAGAAATTAGAAAAAATAAATTTTAATTTAACATTTCAATTACAAAGCTATCTTCCAGAGCTGTCCATAGAGTGGGAATAATGCAGAGAGTCCCTGCATACACAAGCCTCCCACTCAGAACAGACCAGAGAAAATAATAATCCAAAAATACCTTTTGAATAAATTGCAGTAACCAAACTGAAAATTCACAGTCTGTGTCACTGGAATTGGAAAAGAAATTGCCAAAAACTATACTGGAACTGAAACACTCAGGGCTTCAACCCACTGTCAATTTTTTCAGCATGAGTCTTGCTGGAGCTAGGGAGCGTTATGTTGGGGCTCACACACAGGCCATATCCCTAATCTAAGGGGAGAAGACAAAGGAAATACTAAATAATCCTTAAAAGCAAAGCACACTGCAAACCCTCTGGCAGTCAGCACCCAGACTCCATGGCTGTCCCACCTCGGAGGATCTGATCCCTTGTGACAGGAACAGACTGACCTGATGGCCCAGCCTAAGCAAGCAGAGAGGGGAAAAATTAATATGCCCCATTTACAGCCCCATTTAATTAGAAATAAAAAGTGTATGAATGCTGCAAATGCAAGAATTGGAATTATGAGAAAAGTTTCAAGCACTAGAAGGCAGTTGGGCTAGACTTCATTGTAGGTCCCTTCCAACTGAAATATTCTATTCTAACTAGTCACAGAAATGGGAAGGGGACAAAAAATTCCCAAGTTTAGACTATTTAAACATTCAAGTGGCTATACATAATATACACAACATAAAGCATAGGTCAAACATGAAGAAAAGTTCTCATCCTTAAGAAACAGCATCACCGCAGCAGCGTTCAGAACAAGGCAGGCTCAGATGGACACCGCCCTGGCAAAGCAGGGACGCTTCTGCTTCCCCTCCCACCTCCTGCAGGCAGCTCATCTTTGGCTGGGACGGACCTCAAGAACCAGTTTCCTCACGTGCTGTGCAAATGGCATCCTGCCTTCATCCCCACAGTTCAAGTTCATGGAATTAGATTCTCCACCTTTACCTTAAAGTGGAAACAAGCTGCTGTTCCTGATGGACACGGGTCTCTAGAGCACCAGCTCCTCCCAACAGCTAACCAGTGACCTGGGTATCCACAAAAACCTGGGTGCTGCAGTCTAGAAAGAAATGACCAAGCAGATCTGATCTTGCCGTAGGGCCGGGTGGCAGGATCAGACCATCCCTTCCAACCTCTGTAACTTGGGAACAGCACATATGTTCTACTTCTATGGCAGAACACCAGAACCGGCTCTTTGACCAGGCTTCCAACAGCAATTTTCACCACTAGCATTGCACTGGGAGCCGTTTTTACTAATTGCAAAGAGGAAAACATTGCATTTGCTTGCTTCTCCTAATGCGAAACATCAGCACTCATTAAGAAGAAAACATTAAGCATCCCAAAGCTAATATTTGCTTATTAGGTTTTTTGGAGTTGCATATTAAATTATGAAATCTTTATTAGCTTTATGCTATGACAGCACTCATAAAAGTTAGAAGCAGGAACCATTCCTATTCATTTTTGCAAATATTAGCTAACTCTAAATAAACCCTCTGATTTTAGGACAAATGTCAGAGGAGAATCCATTCAGAGCATTTCTTTCTTTTTGCATGACTGCAAATCCAAGAGGAAGTTTGACTGCAAACAAGAGGACATCAGGGTGTGTCCTTAACCTTGCAACACAAGACATTGTCTTTCTGGTTCACTTCAGGTGCAAGTGACAGATACATAGTGAAGTTCAGAGATAGATCACGGGAAATAAAAGCAAACAGCAGGCTTGAAAGAACAAGGATTGGCTTTTAAAGTCTCTTAATTTCCAAACTAAGCAATCGCTTAGACTGTCTAATCCTTCCTTCCATTTCCAGAAGGGTAAAACATTATTATTGCCAGGATTACACCAACTCAGCTCTCCACGAGTGTGATTTCTGCGAGGATGCTTTTCCCCCCACACACATCCAGTTCCAAGGGTCCATGTACCCACAGCACCTCCCATGGGAACTGTTACCCGGGGGCTGGCTGCAGCAGCGGTGGGATGGGGGAGCAAGGATCGGGGGCCTGTGGAAGGAGCACAGGTCCTGCACCGAGGTTACTCATCCATGCCTTGAGAAACAGATTTTTCAGTGCAGCCTTGACAGATGAGACACCATACGAGATGCAACACAATGCTAAGGTCACAAATTTGTCACAAACTGGAAATTCAGTGCTGCAGACAGAAGAGAATTTGGATTGTAATGAATTCACAACTGTAGGATAGCGGTAGAAGGGTGAATTAATCCACCTTGCAAACAGCATCTTTTCCCCCACTCTTGTGCTACACAGAGGACAAAAAGCAATTGCTGAAACATCAGATTGCTGCAGTCTAATTGGTAATTTGCTGCCAACCACAGCAGATGACACTGTAGGAGGGACTAAGCACCTTCACCATCAGGGTGCTACTGACATGCAGACCACAGCTCAGCTGGAGAGAAGGTCCTGAACCAAACCCTGAACATCCCGATAGCCTGTGACTAGTTGACATGGTAGCATGAGCCAGGTGAAGACAAGACACCAGAGCCAGTGTCCCCTGCTGCTGCCCAGCGTTGCTCACTCTCCCGCCCGCAGGAGCTGTTCATAATACACACCATGCTGACTCCTGCCATAAAACAAAGCAACTTTTCAACCGGAATTAAGCACCAGCATCAGCACTCAACAGCACTGCATCACACCACCTGCTCCCAGCCCCACCAGCCTTCCACGCCGTCCCCTCAGAGTACACCAGCACAGCGGCTCTTCATCCAAACCCCTCACAAAAATAATTCTGGCTCACCGTAACTTCTAGCTAGCTGAACATAGGTCAGGCTCTTCTATTTCCCAGCTGTCCGAGAGCTGAAGAGACGATTCACTTTCTGCTTCCAAAGCTTTTCACCAACTTTGTGGTGGCCAACTCCGCACCAGGTAACACAGCTGCACTGAATCCAGACAACCCCACAGAAAGGGCAGCAGGGCAGAGGCTGGCAG